TAAGATAGTTTAGAGAGAACCCTCCTTAACCTAAGAGGCTCTATTAGAGATGGGTTTCCTTGGGCATTTCAAGCCTCCTATTCTAGGTTAATTAAGGGAAAACCTCTAAGTTTGAATTAAACACCTGAGTTAATTGTGATTATATCGTCCAAACCTTGGTTTGAGGGAGAAGGTAAGTCAACCCTCAATTGCTTGGGCCAAGAGGGCTACAATTGTAGCCTTTGACTCATACCTTGGCCTAGCAATTGGGATAATGGTTTCCAACCATTGTTGCACCTCCAACGGGTCATAATTTCTTCGTCACACGCCGTTCATTTGATTCGATCCCACGGTTCTTGGTAGATGGTTAGGGGGAAGCAACACCCGAGTGAAGCTCCTCACCAAGAGTTTTCCAACCTTTTTAATTTCCAAGTCTTATTTTTCAAATAGTAGTTAGTAGAGCTTTCAACAAACAACAATCCACTAGATAATGTTTCAAACAATTGTAGTAGGGGTACACGGACCGACCAGACTAAATATTTAAACATACTTTACCCATATTGCACCCATTTAAGGTTTATACTTGGGCCGTAGGTGGGATTATATTGTGATATTCGGGACGAGTCAAATCTCGATGGCTATTAGACATCAACATATGGACAACATCAACAACAATCCTAACAACCACCACAAAGATATTCGAATGCATTAAGGACGTGCAAATGAAGAGGTCTCACATTGCTCTCAAACGAAAAAATGACGCGTCGAGACGACTCACCAATCACAGTTATCCATGCATATATTTGAAGTCTTAGGAACAAGTGATCGAGCAAACGAGGTCCTCACTAGGAGGTATGTTAACATGAAAAGATGAATGAATTACACTCTCTCGACTAGTGGGGTCAGGATCATTGTGATTCAAAAGATGTGCATACTTAAACACTCAACCCTATCGTCTCTAAATGCTAGCGTTCAAAAGATGGGTGTCATCACTAGCTTGTCTGCTGGTCTTAGACACGGGTCAGATGATTGGCTCGGGTCAAGGACATGGGGAACATGCAATTTAGGTGGTAGCACAAAAGGAAATGAGGTTCCACAATTCAACTTAAAACCAACAGAAGGTTCTATGGCTTCTACTAAAACCTTCTTCTACAAGCAATGACCACTAGCATCGGCCAAAAACCACACTTCCATCAATTCCAATCACAACCAATCACCAAACCATTCACAACAAACTTTCTTTGCTACACTTTATATAAAATTTTCAAGCACAAGAGTGAAGGAGGTAAAAAATCAAGTACAAGTTCCTAAGCATGATTGCTAGGAAACACATTTTTAGAGCATACACGACTTTTTTGTGGCGGCTCTCCTTTCTTCGTAGCCCTCTTTATTTCTTTCTTTTTCTTTCTTTTTGTTTTTCGTTTCTTCACCACTTGTTGAGATCTAGTAGAGAACTACAAACACATGCCACGTTCTTGAAATTAATGATCAATGCTCACTTTTAAGAACTTCTTCTAACATTCACTTTTTCATCTTTAGCAACCCATGCACAAATCACTCATGTGGAATCTCAATTAAGCTCAAATGAAATAAATGGAGCTTCCAAACACAAGGGTGACTCAATAATAGTCTAGAGCTACCTAACACGAGACCGACCTTTGAACACACGGCTCAATAGGGTTACTAGGGGATAATTCAATCCGGACAGGCCAAATTTTGGGTCATTGACTAAACATACGCCTCCTTTTCCTCACTGGTGACAATTTGAATGCTACTTGTCCTGGTAAGAGGGATCTATCACACAAGAATAAAACGAGCGGCACAAATCTCACATGGATACCTAGATGCTCAATCATTCATTCCAACTTCCTAATTTTGATTCATAGCAATTGTGATCAATGAGTAATCAATCAAAAACATCCATTGGTTCGCAAACACATGAGAACTAAACATTTACACAACCCTAATGCATATCTCAGTCATCATCATAGGTTGTTCTCAATCACAAACAGTTCATCCTTACATCAATGCTAATAACCACGAGATTCAAAATAAATCACCAAAGGTGCCTCTATGGTCATGCAAATGGAGAAGTTGCTATGCTTGGAGCCCTCAAATTTTTAAAATTTGGGCATACAACAACTAGGCTGCAAGCACTCAAAATCACACCAATCATTCACACAAAACATTACAGACTACCTCTCCCCCCCCCCCCCCCCCCCCCCGCACACACACACACACTTAAGCTCGACATTGCCCTCAATGGTGTATAATAAGGAGGTAGAACGATGTTACCGGATAAGGTGTGAATGTTTGTGAACGGAGTAGAGGACACTAAAATCCCCCCAAAGGTTTTCTTATTAAAGAGAAAAGAAAAGAAACCGATGTCAGTTGGTTTGCCTCCCACCATGCGCTTCTTTAACGTCGTGAGCCGGATGGTTGCTCTTCAATTTTTGGTCTACCCAAGAAACTCCTTGAAGTTGAGGTTCTCATCAATGAGGTAATGTCTCAAGTCACGAGCATTGGACGAATCCATGATTAAAAGCTCATGAAATTGGATAGTTTTGAGGCTCCACCCACGAGAACACATCTTCTTCATTTTTCTCGTTGCCCCGCACCATATAGTGCATCATGGATTGACCGCCATCCCATCCACCAAGAGGGATCGCCGATGGTTTGGTCTTGGCTTGGTAAAGAGTCACAAATGGGTCCTTCTCGAGTAGCGCATCAAGGTCGTGTGGAAAGCTTTGGTAGGACCTGTAACTTGTTGAAGCTTCATCCACCATGACCTCGTCCTCATCTTGGACTCCATTTGCTCTTTCAACTTCAAACTCAACCTCCCCTCCTTCTTCAAAGTTTAACTCCTGCCCTTGGGAACAATCAAGATCTTTCTCCTCTTTAATGCTCACTTCCCCCTCTTTAAACTCTTATTTCTCCTTCCCGTTCTTGTCTTCAAACACGGTCTGGAGGGAAAGACGTCATGCAAGGTCATCGAAATTGTTCTCTTGCTCTTCTGTCCTCATGATCTGGCCTTCAAAGTTGTTCACGGGAAGGGGAAAGGTGTAAAAGTCATCAATGCAACCTTCATGATCATCCTCACCATGGGAGCTCTCCAAGGTGAATTCCTCTTGCTCCACTCGGTTGTCATTAATCTTCCCTTCAACCTTCTCTTTCTCCTCCAATTATGACAGGCGATGGCTTGCACAAACTCGTGACACCTTCTCTTGTAACGTGAAACCGGGAGGAGGGAGGGGTTTGGAAATCCTTCTTGGAGCATGCTCTTTCAAAGTTCTACATGGTAAGCTCCAATTTGACTTCACTTTGGGTTGTGGGAAATCCAAGTTCGAGCACCCTTCATCGGTTCCTTGGGCAAACTGCTCCACCATGAGCTTCAGTTTGCTATTTGGCTCCGGTTGCGGAGTGGCTAATGCTCTTAAGGAATGCCCTATGAAGGCTTCCATTGCCAACTCCAACTTGGATTTCTCTTAGGGTTGTAGAGGGAAATCTTCTTGATATGGGAAGCTTCTTGATATCCCCATTGGTATGTTTGTTCTTCTTGGAATGGAGGTTGGTCATAGAACCTGGTTCCTTCGCTTACACCCTCTTAATTGTTCCATGAAGCTCCATAGTACCCCCATTCTGGTGGTTATGGATACCCCCATATGTTGTAGAATCCATTGGGATCCATGATTCAACCTACAACGACAAAAACACAAAATGAAAATCAAACAAACCCGAAACACCCTTCAAAGCGAAGAGTGGGTCAACAAACACAAAACAAAAAAAAATGGCTAAAGTAACAACCTAAGCCTTTTTTTTCGATAACCAAGAATGATCCCCAACAACGGCACCTGAAACTTGGTTCACTTCGACTACAACATTCCCAATCGACAACCAAGTATAATCGAAGCTCGGATGTAGCATATGGTAAGCAAGTAATAAATTTTATCGTACCCAGGGGATCTAAGCTTATCTTACTTTAGGGTTAGGGATTGTTATCTAGCCAACCTAGAATAGTCATTAAGAAGACTAAACTAACTAACCTAGCTAACCACCAACCTAGTTAATTCAAGTTGGATATCTCTTAGGTTTGAATCCCCCTAGCTATTTGCGTCATTCAATCGATGTTGAGTATCAACCTTGCTTGATCGGCTCACTAACCTACTGTTAGGAGGTTGACTCCCTTGGGACGGACCCGGAACGGCAAACTGATGGATAGGTGGTGCTCTATTCAACCTAGGGAAAACCTATATCCTAGGAAATCGGTCCAATCGGCTCCCTCAAGGATTACCCAGACGATATAGGCTGAGGAGTGACCCGAAGAAGCCAATAATAGGCTCCAAGGGGATTATCTCCCTCTTAGGTCAAAAGCTCAATTGACATAATGGATAGGTGGTTCCCTATTCAACCTAGGGAAAACCTATGTCGTAGGAGATCGGTCCAATCAACTTCCTTGGGGATTACCCGGACGATATAGGGATGAGGAGTGGATTATCTCCCTTCTAGGTCAAAAGCTGAATTGACATGAAAATTAAATGGAATCCAAAATCATGCAATCCACGAAAACCATCCATAATATAGATGATGAATACAATCAAACATAGGCTTTGTCACATACATCAACATTAACCCAAAATCTAGACCTAGAGTTCATCAACCTAAGAGAAGAGATCTATGGTTCATAGAGAGAAGAGAGATTACAAAACATGCTCAATATCTTCTTATTATTAGGGCTAATACCACTAGTAAACCCGAACTATTAAGAATGTGTCATTTGTGTCCTAAAGTATCTTCTTATTATTAGGGCCAAGACGCAGGTTGCACGGGGAACATGGAAAGTGGGTCGAGTCTTTCAACCTTGAGGGCAAGGTTGGTCTTAAGGGAGAGGGGATGATGGAAACCTAATTTTTGGGTTCTATAATAATTATTATTACTATAATTAGGATATTATCATATATGGTTAGTAGTTATTGAGTCATAGTAGGATAGTCTATTAGGTTTTTCTAGTCTTTCGCTATAAATATGTAATTGGTCCTTCATTCATAATCAGTCAAGAAGAATATTAAGAAACAATCTCCTAAACCCTATTCTCCCAATCCTCTCAATTCTTGTTCCCAATCCCTCTAAAGACCTATGCCGATTCTCTATCTTTCTCTTCTCAAATCCCTAATTCTGTTCTTAATCCCTAAATCCCCAATTCTCGATAGAACCCTAATCCCGGGTTCTATCATTGATCTACATGATTGTGAGAGGACTTTGCTCTCTCTCGATCTCATCTCCCCAACCCTCCTCTCTTTCTCAATCTCCTCTCCCTAACCCTACTCTTTGAGTAATCGCCGCCTACCGCCGTCGTCACATGATGGTATCGAAGAAGTTTTCTCTTCGCCGCCCACCAATATTCCAGCCTCCAGACCAGCATACCACCAGTCGTTGTTGCCGCCAGATTAGGGATTTTTTTGGGGTTTCTATAGATACGGGTGCCTCCTCTCTCAATCCAGATCTTTAGTTGGCATTTTCTCCGTCGTCTCGAGCGTCCCCAACAAGACTCTTGTCACCATCTCGTAGCCCTCCCTTCGCTCCTGCTGTTTCCAACAGAAACACATCCAGAAGCAATTCATAACATAAAGTAAGAAGATAGAGAGGATACCTATATACCGCTGGTTATTAAGGGAAGGGATCGGTGTACTGATTACTGGATTTCCCATGGCGATTAGTTGTTCAATTGCCGACTATACCGATAACCGACAAACTGATTACTACCCTTATACTATACATGATCAACCCCCCCCCCCCCCTATTTCTCTGGGAAATATATTTTTATTTAAAAAAGCTAGTAGGGAATAAAAATAGGCGTCGTTTCTTAATTACCTGATCCCCATTTCCACATCCAAGTTTTGTACCCTTTATTAGGATTTCAGGAGATTGGAACTTCATCTTCCACCAACAGCATAATTTCTTAGAACTTAGAAGTATGCAAGATCATCGGGTTACCCACGATCCGCCCACCTTAACACCTGCTGCTGCAACCAAGCCACAAGATCTAGCCAACCGCAGTTGTTTCGATTGGCATTTCTGGTGGGTTTGTCCTAAGTTGCGGGGTCGTTTAACGCCGCTGCCAGAGCAAGGGCACAAATATTGTTGACTCCCATTCAACGACTACCTCGCATCTCAGAGAGTAAGAGGTGAACTAGAGACTTCATATATTCCTCACATTCCAATGTAAGAAAATCAAACTACAAGCTGATTAACCAGAAATCCAGCTATAAAGAAGGTACACCAAAGTAGAGTTCTTGTTCTCTTATTCAAGAAGGTTCTCTCCCGTTCTTTTTCCCCTTTTTTCCTTATCCCTCACACATATTCTCTCTCTCCCTTGACAACATTGACTCGTTCGACATTCATCGAGCATTTTTACCATTTATTCAAGCAGCCAAGGAAACCTGAGTGATGCCAAATCTCTTAACCTTGCAGCCCGATAATGCCTGTCAAAGATAATCGGGTCAGTACCCAAATCGGGTAGATACAAATGAGTGACCTCATTCCAATCTCAGAATTCGAATCATTCTAAACTCACCGCAAGCAATCCTTCCACCAGCATTGCCAGTGCTCTTGCTGAGTTCGTGTCCACCTGTTTTTTTTTTTTTTTACACGCACAAAAAAAAAGCATCCAGTGAGTCACATAGGCTTAGATCGGAAATGAAACACGAAGCACTAAGCCTTGAAACAATAGCCTAGCTCCTAGGCAGCCGTGACTGTATCAGCATTCTAAGGATAGCAAGCCTATATCATCCATTCATGTTGCAGCAAGTAGCAATTTAAGCCCTCTGAGAGGCGAGCTGAGTGCCAGATTCCCAAAATTCCATTAGAAGTTGAATTCATATCAGCATATGTAAGTAACACTAAACATTCCTTATTAACAAATTTATTGTGACTAGATGTGAAGTACACAGCAAAATTGTAAATGGGAAGTGATATATTACCCTTTCCGAGATCATCAGGATCAGCATGAACAACAACAGCCCTACCAATGATGGAGTGTGGACCAGTAACAGGGATATGCTTGTCAACAATAGTGAAAGTTGCAGTACCTGCAGACAATATTCAGTAACAAATCCCATCATACTTCAAATGGAAAAAGAACATTCATCAACCACGGTAATGGGAACTAGAGAATCATTCAATCAAAAGCCATACCGTCATCTCCAACTGTAACATTTCCCAGGTCACCAGCATGGCGGTCTTCATCCTCTGGAGCTCCATGTACTTTGCCGTGAGGATTGAAATGTGGGCCTGCACAAGCAAACACGCAAGATGAGTACAACGCATTCTCGTAGAATCCAGGAGTAAGCACAAAGGGTAATTGATATGTACCAGTTGACATGCAGCCGTTTGTTGTGTCTCCCATGGCGTGGACATGGAAGCCATGAAGCCCAGGCTTGAGACCAGAGATGTCTCCTGTCACGGTGGTAGGACCTGAAGAGCAACCAAGCCAGGACAATAAACAAAAGAGACTACAAATCACACTTGAATGCCCGCCGAGTAAATACCATATTCAATTTCTTACCATCGCCTTCCTGGGTGAAGTAGACAGTCCCTTTGACGCCATCACTATTTCCAAGCACAACAACTGCCTTCACCATTTTGCTCTAATGTGATCTAAATGGACAGGATTTAAAACTGCACATCAATTTCAGACCAGAAAATAACCACTACAACGAATCTATAAGCACATCTCAAAGCTAAAGCTCAAGAAATCAAATCAACTATCCAAAAAAGGCAAGAACTGGAATCTGTTCCAAAAGATTTCTGTTGAAAAACGAGCTGCAATCCTGGCATCTGAAGGCACCCAACCAATTGCAGATTACAACAAACTCTAGTTCGTCAATCAGTCCATGAAATACCAAAAGCAAAGAGTTACCGCGTATCATTCAACTGATACTTAATCTACCATGCTCTTCATTATTTGCCAGGGCACTCAATCTCTCTCTCTAGTCCATCGTTGTCAGAATACAACTAAAGAACAACAAGCCAAGGCAAGGCTTAAAGCGCATACTACAGTCTCTACAAGACATACATCGCCATTAGAACGACAAGCTAAGCTGCTACAGCGTAAGAAGAAGGAACTACAGTCTCTAAAAGATCAGCTTCGCCATCAACGTCATCCTTTACCAAAAGTAGTGTTCAATCAGGAAACTATGTCGTGATCTACGACCACGAAGCAACCGCTCTATCCACAGCCAAACAAAGCAGAAAGCGCGAGCTCAGAATCGCTCGACTGAATGCTCGAGCAAGTGAGAAACAAACCGTCACACAGCAACAAAAAAGACCAGAAATCCAACCGAAAATACACAGATCGTCAGGGAAAGAAGAATCAGAGAAACGACAAAACAACAGAAATAGCCAATAAACTCCGATCGGAGACGAGATTTTGTGGCGGCAAGCCGAATCAAGAGCGTTATCGTGTTCGGAAAATCTGGAAGTGGCGTAAGGAAAGAAGCAAGAAACGACGCGCGCGTACCTCAGAACACCCCCTGGTTTTTTTTTTTTTTTCTCACGGATGAGGATGAAGAAGACGAAGAGAGCTGGGAGCAGTGGGGGAAATGAATAAGGCGAGTTCGACTGAGCGGTAGAGCTGGTTCTTTAACTGACTGGTTAATATAATAGTAACATAAGAAGTGGACCAATTGGAAGCCCGAGCACAGAGTTCTAGAATTTATCCTTCCACCTACCGAAAAGCGTTCAATCTGCCGGCGATCCGGGATTTTAATCTTTTTATTAATCCCATTGCGCAGTAAACTTTGGTGGTAATTTCTCACTCTTGGGCTGATGATGGGCCTTTAATAAGAGAGTTCGCTTGTTTCTGTCCACTCGTCGAGGCCAATGGCAGCCCATTTATGTTCCTAAACCATTCAATTTTTTAACCCATAAGCAGGGTTCAAGAAGGCGCGCCTAAGTGCACGCCTAGGCTCAATTAGGCACTAGGCGGTGGAGGATCGCCTTGACTTGGCCATAGGCGTTGGTAGCGCTTAGTAGGTAGGAATAGCGCTTAATTTGCGTCTAGTGGAGAGAAGGCGTGCGTGGGCGTTCCTGGGCGAGCTTAGGCGGTTAACCCAATACTCTTCGTTTTGTCCTAGAAAATCAGAAACTTGCCTCTTTCCCTAGAAAATCAGAAACACGGTAAGTAACATCTGCTGCCGCCTGCCGCCCTAGCTCTCGCCCCATCTGCTACCGTCTGCCGCCCTAGCTCTCGCCCCATTTGCTGCTCTCTGCCGCCGCAGGAGAAAGTCATCGATCACTCTTCTCGCATTCACACCGCCCCGCTGCTATAGTGGGAAATAAAGTCGAAACTCGTCAATTGCTGCTCCTTCCTTCTCCTCGGTACGTAGCACAAGCTTCTTGCCTCTATAAGCACCTATTAGCAGATGATTGGTCACTATTTATTTGTTATTTGTTATGTTAAGTGTTTACTGTTAAGAACTAGGCATTGCTAATTTTATATGCACTTGGATTATATGAATTATTCCAGAAAACTAAAAATATTTGAGAATTTTTCCATTTATGCTCTAAACGCCTATGCGCGCCTAGGCTACGCCTATTCGGGCAAGGCACAAGTCAGGAACCGAGCGCCTGCCTTACGCCTAGCGCCTTTTAGAACCTTGCCCATAAGATAGTGTCACTTTCCAATAGGGATTGTGAGTTTCACTTCCCTCTTTCGGGTTGGATCACGTCCTTAAGGCTCAAACTTAAGGAGTTTCTTAAACCTTTTTTGGCCAATAGGAAGAGGAGAGAGATGGAGTCATGTAACTAACCCGTAACTAAATAAAAGGGTAAATGAGGGATTTTTTGTAATTATTAAATGCTAATAATTATTGTCATTATTTATGAAAATGGTAATTTGACTATAACCACGCCACTCACTTACCATATGCAAAAACCCGACCCTATCTCTATCTTCATTCCTTGCAAAAAAAAAAAAAAAAAACCATTAGCACCATACTACTCTGCCGGCGGTTTCCAGAGATCGGTGGCGGCGAAGCTTTAAAGACGGAGGGCGCGAGGGAGACAGCGACCGCCGTTGTGTACGTAAAGGGAGAAAGCGACGATCGTTTCCAGAGATCGTTGGCGGCGAAGCTTCAGAGACGGAGGCCGCGAGGGACGACAGCGACATCTTTTTCTTGCCGCTGCGCCGTGATCTGTTTGTGGCGTCCAACGTCGGGTCTGGTTATTAAAAAACAAACTGAACATGTCGGCGGGTTTTCTGATAGGTATGGTCTCTGGTATGCCGCGTTTTTTTTATGCTTTTATGTGAAGTTGGAAAGTGCCCCGTTTTCGTTGATAATGGGCATATTTTCATTCAAAATCTTGAACGTTTTTATTAAAAATAGGGATACAAAATGAAAGTTAAGAGTTTGTGTTAATAATAGAAAGAAATTATTTGAAGTTATTTTAAGCATGGTTCAAGAAGGTGCTAGGAGTAAGGTGAGAGCGTTGAGGTTATGCCTAGCACCTAGCTCGCCTGGGCGTAGACTAAGCGTGCCCAGGCGGTAGAAGCAAAATAGCTATTCGCACGGCATGATAAAAGAAATAATAATCTACAATACTTCCTCACTTCGGTTAAAATGATTAATAACTTCTCAACATTTAATGACAATAACTAGATCACAAATTTATGAAATCATAGCTAAATAGCTCACGAAGTTCTTGAGCTATTGAAAATATTGATATAGAAAATTGATTTCGTAGTTGACGTTAATTTCCTCCTTTAATATTGACTTTCTAGCTCCATCTAGTTATGTTTAGGAGAGACTTAGATGTCGCATTAATCCATTGACGTGTTCCGGTCTCTAACTATGCGCAAAACCCCTAGGCGAGGCGGTTTGTCATTGCCCTGCGCCTAGGCGTGCATAAGCGTAAGGCTAAGCGTGCCTTTTTGAACCATGATTTTAAGTATGTTGAAAATACGCATATTTTCATTAAAAAGGTTGAACGTTTTTATTAATAATGGAAATACAAAATGGAAGTTAAGAGTTTGTGTTAATAATAGAAATACAATATTTGAAGTTATTTTAAGTATGTTGAAAATAGGCATATTTATATTAATAACCTGGGACGTTTGTATTAATAATAGAAATACCAAATGGAAGTAAATGATTATTAACACAATTGGCATCAAGTATTATCAACTAGTGGTTCAATTAGTAACCTTGATGATAACGACATGTTATTAAGGAGCTACTTGTAGTTTTGTTTTGAGGAAAAATGCATGTTTCATTAATGGGCAGATTTGAATGCGCCACCTACTGATGAAGTGTTTGTGGCACCATCTAATGGGCAAGGGGAGCATGAAATAGAAGAGGATGTGTCTACAGATATGTCTTATGAAGGTAACATGTTTGGTTGGTAGTACGAGTATATTGGTGTTGTTGTCTTATTGGATGGTCATTAATAATTGGAAGACTTGTGTTAATAATTGAAATTTAAACAGTTAACGCAGATGATGTCACCAATGTTGATAGATTTCCAACAGATGTGCGCACTAGGGAAGATGTGGACCTCTGCCACAATATGGATACAGATTAGTGTTGTTATTAACAATAATGGTTATCATCAGTAATACCATATGGGTGACCAATTATCCAATCGTGCAGTGCGGGAAGTTATTGATTCGGACTATGAAAGCACATGGAGACACCGTCAATTTTTGTCAAGGGATCATGCTGAGCGGTTCTACAGAGAATATGCCCATGATAATGGTTTTGGCATGAGGAGAACGGAGCTCCTAAAGTCAACACCAAAAGTGAATTTAGTGAGAGAGCTCACTATATCTATTGTGTGTGCAACAAGAGTGGATTTCGTAAAAAGATCGAACTGGATCCCAAAAACAAAGGAAAGATTGATGATACAGTCCGCAGACGGAATAGAGCAGAGACTACAACGGGTTGTCCGACAAATATGTATTTCGAGCTAGACAAACAAACTGATATGTACTTCATCGATAATTGGGTGGACAAGCACAACCACGAACGTCATGACACTTCAGTAAAGCATTTGATAAGGTCAAACAGAGAAATCAAAGAAGCGCAGATGTACCTTGCTAGACTTAACGAAGCCGCGGGGATAAGAGTGCGCGCTAGTTACACTACATTCTGTCTAGCTGCTGGAGGTCGGGAAAATGTTGGATTCACCCCTTCAGATTTGAAGAATTGCATTAGAGGGGTAGGCAGAAGACAATGGAGTTTGGTGTTGCAACATTCTTATATCGGCATTTCACACGAGCATCTAATGTGGATCCTTCTTTTATGAGGGCGAGGTGGACGTGAACGAGGAGATGACAAGTGTATTTTGGGCGGACGGAAGAATGAGGATGGACTATCATTATTTTGTGGATTCCATTAGCTTTGATACAACCTACCGAACCAATCAAAATTGTCGTCCTCTAGGTACGTTCTCTAATGATGTTGGTTTCTATTTACAAATTCTATATATGTAATAAGGAGATGATATTTCGTTCCAATATTGTTGATAACGCATGATTGTCACTGAGATAGATGTGGGACATCGTTGATAATGGAGGACAAATGGGGTTTAACTCATGGGTTAATACATGCATGAGGACTTATTAATAATGTGTATGTATTCGTTGATAATTCATGTTGTTGTGTTTGATGAGTTGTTAATAAGTCATTGATAATGCATGTGTAATTTATCAATGACCCATATGTTAATACATGCATCAGGACTTATTAATAATGTCTGTGTATTCGTTAATAATGCATGTTGTTGTGTGTTATGAGTTGTTAATAGTGGATTGGGTATGCATATGTAATTTTTCAATGAGTTTTTAATATATGCAGCTTTATTTGTGGGATGGAACCACCACAAGAAACTATGTGTGTTTGGGGCTGCTCTACTGTATGACGAAACATTAGAGACTTTTGATTGGCTCTTCCGATCATTCTTGAAGTGCATGTCTGGTAAAAGACCGACATCTATTTTCACTGATCAATGTGCTGCAATTGCTGCTGGTATCAAGATGGAGGATGATGGTTCGAAGTTGGACGAGAGGGTCGTACTGGTGGATTTGGATGAGTGCATAATGCAGTGTTCATGCAGGAAATTCCAGACCCATGGTTGGTTGTGTCGACACATATTAAGAATAATGGTACTTTTGGGGTATGGACCATACCCACAGCTGGCAACGATCCCAACCCGTTACTTGTTGGATCGATGGTCGCGTACAGTGAAGACTAAGGGTGGAATATCCCAGTATCAGCCGAAGCCTACCTATGAAGGCATCCAATGTTCTCGAGTTTGCTGCGTTAGAAGAAGGATAGCTATACTGATTCACAGGAATTTTTAAAGAACGCAGATTTTTTTTTAAACTTTTTCATAAGAAAGAACCTCATGAACTTTTTATTGCGCATATCCTTTAAAGGGGGATTCCATAAATATTCCATTCCAAAAAAAGAGCAAGTTCGAAACAATTGGGATTTTGTTTGAGATTGGATACAGTTACTAATTCATGATCTGGCATGTACTATCCGGTATTGCATCCTTTGATATGTCGGGGTTGATATAAGCACTTTTTTGTCTGAGGATAGAAATGAGACTGCTCACAATTCCATCTCCATCCCGCTAGCACACTGGATAAGAGGCTCGTGGGATTGACGTGAGGGGGTAGGGATGGCTATATTTCTTGGAGCGAACTCTGATTGTCTATTTTTTTTTTTTTGTATAATCTATATTGATTGA